CATACACGATTCCTCCTTTCAATTGGTCCTGCCTCAGCTCAAAGATTATGAACAAGAAGTCATTAGACACACAGTCTTCTTTGATGAACAGCTGATACAAGCTTGTAAACATTAAGAAACATGAGAGATAATTATGAAAATAAATATACATTATGTTCTCTTGTCCGTTGGGAAGAATTCTTCATCTTTGTAATACAAAAATATATATTGTCAAGGAGAAAAAATTTACTACCAAAAAAAAAAAAAATTAGTCAACAGATTAATTTGATGGTATAATAAATCTTGTCTACCTCATATTTTCTAAAAAATGATAATTTTCCTTAATTTATACATTAAAATTCTGATAACAAAAGCACAATAATTTCATTTTTTTCTTACAAATATTAATCACAAATTACAACTATGGTTTACAGATTTAGTCAATATATTTTTTGGATGTTTGTTGATTTGATTTAAATTTCAAATTTTATAATGTGCAATTAACAGTAATTTTAAAGAAATTAGTCATGTCATTTGGTAAAACGTTGATGCAAGTGAAACATCTTGAAGTGAATAGTAACGAAGCTAGTTCATTAAGCTTGCAGCTTCGAGAGACATGCCAAGGAGTAAATAAGAAAGAGCTTTGTAAAAGAGTAACATAATAAGTTTTGGCATCTTGAACACCTTTAGAAAGAGCTGAAAGAGTTCCATCTTAAAATGCTAATCTAGGTCAACACTTTGAGAACCTAAACCAAACAGCAACAATGTTAAAGAAACAGAGATCAAAGCATCAGAACTACGAAGCCAAACATTCTCAGGGTCTAAAAATGAACGAGCTCAATAAGTAATAGACAGAGACAATCATTTCAACTTTCTTTTAAGTTCAAGGAACTAAGAGGACTCAGATACTAGCAGGAGTGACTATAGAACAGAAGAGGTTAGGTTTCTAATCAAAAACTAGATCCTTGTATAGACAAATTATCTAGTACTACTATAGAAAAAGGCTCAAGAACAGAGAGCCCTGAGAAATATATCAGTCACACCTCAAAGGACACACAAGTGTGATTAGTGCCACTTGTGAAATTTCCACCCTTTTTCATCAAAAAGTTGTCTCTCGGATTCAATGGCTAAATAAATGAAATAACCAGTCTATGTATACAACTT